AAAACTAAAGGAATTTATAAGTGTGATGACTTTTGTTGAATGGCTATAATGTGATACTGGTAGGGTATTCGAAGGAATTTTATTAAAATCTAAATATTTTTTACATTTGTAAACTTATCCTGCATTACTCCTTGATGCATTTCCAGCTGTTTTTTGACAGAAAGATGAAGCTGTAAGAGGTCCAGCTGCAGAAGAAGTTGTTCCAACTAGGTGTGTGGCTAATACTATCACACAACGCCAACGTGACCTTGGAAGTGATGACGTCATGTATTATCACATGACTGTTAGATCGTAACATCTGAAGACATCGTGGGGCGGTAGCTCTGCAACAGGTGGGCCACTTGAGATGTAGAAATGCAGGATAAGTATACAAATTTTACTAGATTTTTTAACTTATCCTGCATTATTCCTTAATGCATCTTTATCAGACGGTATAGCAGAGGGCATACCATCAGATGCGGTCCTCTGTGACACAAACTCTCCAGTCATTGAGATCATCATTTGCACACTTCTGCAACTACTTCGACCAGACCTGCCCACGGATGGAACGAAAGCATGAGTACATCGTAGTAAAAAGCAGCAAGTGAAATTTTCGTGCACTAAAGTCTAGAAACATGAATTACCAAGCTAAACTGGTGATTAGCAGAATAACTGAGTTGTGTAGGGGTGGCTCCAGAAAGGATGAGCATTTAAATGGTGACGATGATTGGTGACATGCTGGGCCACGACCACAGGGCAAAAACCATGAACGCCTTCGACATCTTCCAAGGCCACATTCCTCAGGTAAAGGCTTGCGAAGACAGTGTCGGACCTCCATAAACACACAACCTTGATGGCTCCAATAGAGCAATTACTGAGTAGAGCCATCGTAAAGGCAACCACTCGAATCTCATGAGGGTTATTAACTCTCAGTGGATCTGGTTTGATCAAATTCTCTGCGAGCACTATCTCCGTCTCCATGGAATCATTCCGCCAAAATTAAACATACTTGATTAGTCAAGGAGAATCTGCAGGATCTTTCACAGAAACCTCACCATGAGGCCCTGCACTGCCAAAGGCATGAGGAAACATCAGACCTCTGATGTATGAAAGATGATCGCGTGTCCGGTATCTGGATAGTGGTTGGCTTTGACGACCCCCTCATACGATGAAGACCCTCATCTGGGTGTGTGCCATGTTCCCCACCTCAAAAGCAGGGATGGGGAAACCATCCTTCCTAAACCGAGGAACTTGTAAACGCCAGCAATAAAGATAATATCACAAAATCTTCGTTCATTGCTGAGACCAGATCCTTCAGGACATGGACAAAAATAGTGTCTCATTTATCTACGCCCATCCGGGAGTAACTGCGGCCAAGCGGCCAAGCGGCCAAGCGGTCAATCATCCAGTCAGGGACTTGGTTACGGCTAGATGAGTGTCCTTCTCAGGGGAAGATTTGTTGTACAGAGGCACAAAAGAACCTTCAGACAAATCCGAGTGGAAGCCATATGATATGCACACATTATTAGATGCGCTATGCAGCTAATCGTATTCCTTCCTGCGGACAGGGGAACGGATCCTGGAGTAGTGCCTAGATCGAGACTTCGAACTGCGTCGAGAAGATCCTGGAGAGGCTGAGCCATGAGAGGACACCGCCCGAGAGGTAGAGGCACTACTCATTACAGCAAGAGGCACCAGTGGAGCAGGTGTCTACGCACCGGAAGCACCGAGGACATCGGGGAGGTCGTCGGCGCCAGAATAGGCAAAAGGGGCTATTGACATGTAGCGTGTACACAGGCGCAGGTGCTTGTGTAGTCATCAGTGCCCGGGGTGGCGCCATCTCCAGTGAAGTCATCAGCGTTTAAGGAGACGTAGTCTGCATAAACAACGACATGTCATGCCCAAAAGGGAGGTGTAGGATGGATGCTTTCCAAATGAAGCAGCCTGCATGTCTGAGAAACCAAGGGTAGTAGGTGTTTCTGCGTCTGACGTTTCCTCAATACCATAAGGTATTTGGAGAAGGCTTGAGGGATGATGGGACAGCAGAAACAACACTAAGGTGTTGTCGAACAGGGGTCCATGCAGTCCAAATACAATGGGTGGGGATCCCTGGTAGTCACCTGACAACAGCTGACTGATGGTTATTTCGGCATGATTCTGCACTTTCTGGAATATAGATGACCAGTCTTGTTCATTTTGGCATGCCAACCCTCAACAGGATTTGTGGTTCAGGCCCCATTGTTGCTGAAATGGTTCCACATTGTTCTATCAGGTTTCTCTACCCACTGCAAGGTCACATAGACCGCAAACTGAAGTAGTGCAGGGTCGGCGGCTGGGTTGGCAAGGTCGTCGTCTTCAATGGCATGCCACCAGATATTATCCATGTCACCAATCCTCACCAACTACAGCAAGGCACAAGCACGTCTGACAAACAGGATCACGACTGGATCAGTATTGAATCTTGTCTGTAGTCCAAATCTCTGAACATTTCGCCATATGGCCTGTCTGTAGTGAGCTGGGAGAAGAGTTTGGGGCATATACTGAAGGTATCATCGCAAAAGAAGGTATCAGCTGCTGCAAGGTGTTGTAGGTTGTCTGTCGTGGTGAAGATAAGCATCTTGTCGTCGCTGTGCAGAAGGAAGTTTGCCGTTGATGGTTGTGGGCTGGGTTCATGGTGGTGATCAAATCATGTGCTGCGTTGATGGTTGCAGGGCATGTTGCACTTCAGTGTACACTGGCCTCTTAACTCGGTACTTATGACCCCCATTTACAAGCCATCAACCACCATGGTTGTTGGGAATGAACTTGATGTTTACCTGCACGTTTGCCATTTGCAATGAGGAAGAGACGTTAGGACCATATTTATATGCTCCCATTATGTCAGTGATTTCTGATCACTCACTTAACTTACCACTATGCAAATCATTGTAAATCACTTAAAATTCAAAATGTTTTCTAAATGATTTAATACTTTCATATAGTGAAAACTACTACCATCAACCTGCTGGCTCATGAGGTTAACCGTTGACCTATAGCTGTTGATTGTCTAAGTGAGATCAGTTCACCTGCCACCTTTGGACATGCTCATTTCCTTGTGAAAACACCACCACTGTTAAATAATCCCACCAGCCTGGTGGCAAAGTGAGGATAAGCCGTCTTGTTACTGTGGCAATAATACAACAAGGCATAAATCTTTAATTTAAGCAAAAGTCGTATTCATAATGCATGTAACAGAACAATGAGAAACTGCCTGGTAATTTACAACTCAAAAAGTCATTGGATAATTATTATCATTATCATTGGAGAAAATTCCACAACAGAAAGTGCAAACAAACACTTGAACGCCCACACAAAGAGTATAGGCAATATACATGAAACAATTACCAAGCAATAAACAAGAATTCAAGACGCACGGCACGAGAATGTGACCACACTGAGAATACAGGATGGCTAATCATTGCTAATCATGCTAATTGGAACAACATTACACCTGATATTAGTGTGACTAAGAGGCACTATCAAACGCCAAAGATTAAAGCAACAAAATGGTGAGACATGAAGTCAAAAACCATACGCAATATACAATCACAACCATAACATAGAAATAGAAATAACAAGCAATGAATGCCAGTAGATTCTGGACACATCTAGTCCATTTGATGACAAACAGTAATGTGATGATATGTGACATCGTTGCTTCCATGGTCACGTGAATGTTGTGCGATAGAATTGGCCACACACGTAGTTGGAACAACTTCTTCTTGGGTACAATCAAATCCCTGCAGGTATCATTGAATGAGACCACAATGTGAACTGTTCATAAACCCTACTTGTGCAGAGTTCTGCTAAGAAACTTAACAAGTGTGGAGAAGGACCCCTTTCAGCATAAAAACATGGGGTCATTTTCAAAACACACAAGCCACACTCTGAGAGATCATAAAAAAACTTCAAATCCGATACGCAGTTTATTGATGCAGAATCCCCATCCACATGTAATGCTTGTGATACATAATGTTTCCCATGGCTTCTTTCTCAGATGTAACATTACGTATTGCTACAACAACGTCCATGTCATAGAACTTGTCTCAACTGCTTGTTTGTGATCACCGTTAGCATGTCTCTCGTTCAAAATTATAATTTTGCCTTGTCATTGAATTAGATTTCACATGATTTATGCAAAGCTGACATGACATATTATATCATATTATAGTTATGCTGTAACCATGTGTAGTTGCGATGCCAGGTTCTACCTTTCTCAGTCTGTCACTGTCGGGTTGCGCCATGTGAAACTTTCACTAACGTTACCTGCGGTTGGTGATAATGCGAAATTAAGGTCATTTGAAGCAGAAACATCTTTGGCATTATCAGAAGACGGTCTAGGCTGTGTTGATGAAAAACAGAAATGTAAAATTGATCTGTCTCTGAACATTTTTCTGACTGTATGCTCTCGGATTTTGCTGTTTGGCCATGGTTTATTAGTTACATAAAAGAACTATTGAAAATCATCCATAATGACTACTACTTGATTCTGATTGGACCATTTGGGACTTTCAGCAAATGAAAGGCGCAGACAGCAAAATGAGACACGAAAATGGGGAAGTTTTCATTAAAATATTGAAGCAGCAGTGCGAGTGATGTAAAATATTTTTTGAGACAGTCAGTGGCCCCCATTAAATTAAATGAAATAAACCTATCTGAAGCATAAATATTATGCACCAATCAAAAAATTATTGCGTAAATCCTCAGCAGAACACTGCTTGTTGCATATTTTATTCCAAGAATATTTTCAACTTTTGTATCCGAAAATGTACTGTTGTTAAATAGGTAAATTGGTAAAGTGATAATCTGATCTCAGTTAACCAGTTTAGACCAGATATCTAAGAGGTAAGTGTACCTAGGCAACCTTCAGACATAGAAATAAACTGGCAAGACCTTTGAAAAAGTTGATTTCTGAAATTAACATAATGTCAGGCCATGTCAGATTGAAAAAAACCTTTTCCTAGTTGTAGCACAGAGCTTACTTGAGAAGCCCTGGTGAGGAATGTCCTGAGAAAGTACAGAGGATGGGTTTAGAATTGAACTGTGAGATGGTCAGCTGTATCTTTGCCTGCACTGTTTGGAACTCCCGGGGCATGAACGTTACTGTCACTTCAGCCTTGCTGTTAGCTGGCACAACACCTGCAACATACAATCAATGCACCATCAATTAGATCTTTTCATGATGCTGTCATGAAAACCAGCCCCCTTGGTAAGAGCAGCAAAGTAGTCACAGCAATACACAAAATCACTGTTTATGGGTTCTGATGTGGGGACAGTTTCAATACATTTTGAAAAAGACCAAGTCACACAGTGACAAGAAGTACCGTATTTCGCCGTCTATAAGGCGACCCCAAGTATAAGGCGACCCCACTGTACAAGCTTTCAAAATCGATGCTAATTTATATACCCCATCTATAAAGCGAATTGGAATGAAGAAAGACACCAGCGCATACACAATCCCTACATTTGCAATAAAAACGTGTTTGTCTTACGCAGAAAACAGTTATATCATATCCCTTCAGTGAATTCAGGGAAACGAACAGATCATAACAATTAAACTTGGTCAGTACCAATTTGAAATTTGAGATAAAACATCACTAGACATGATGATTTACCGATCAAATTGTATTCCTGTTCTGATAGGCATTGTTTTATATGCAGAGATTAAGATTACCGAGTGTATTGTCTCGTAAACTAAGCCAAAAGCAACAATCAGCTGTGCACACGTTTCTCGGAATCTGCTGGTGATTCAGTTGAAATTACCCAATAATATAACTTTAAATAATTTTGATACAATGATGGTATGAATTGTATCTGAAACTATTATTCTATCAGGAATAATTTATTCCAATATCATGTTATCATAGTTGCAGCTTCACTATCTACATTTGAAATAAATTAATAACCATTAGCGTGGCACTTTGGTACAGCTAATCGCTATTGCCATTTATTTTTTCGTATGGAACAATTTGACCAATCACCGTCGATGCTCCCGCTTTCGCGATAGCAAAAACTTTATGTTTACATATAATAGTCCAACTACAACAAATATGACTTTCAGCAAGTCATTTATATATATCCATTTTCTATACACTGAAGTTTGTTCCAAGGCTTCAATAGCGGTATTATGATCATGGTTGCTGTAAATAACAGTGAGTTTTGCGATCTTCCCATCACTTCAAATACGATTTCACCAAAATTAATGCAAGCAATATTCAATGAAATTTTGAATAAAATTAATCATGTTAATAAAATAGATTACAAACATAAGTCCAGATATTAAATGAACATTTTTTATAACTATACATTGTAATTACATGATTATTTTGCGTACTGCAGTACCGATTTGTTGACATGGTATTTCCGGTGCATTCTGGTTCCATTATGTTTTTGCCAAAGACAAATTTAATACATGCTTCATGGGTTGATGTATTTAGTATATAGAGTTTATCACGCAAGTGTGTTTGGGGATGGTAAATATCCTGCATAAAGAATAAACATTGTATTTAGCGAGCCTGGGCAAGCTAAATACATTGTGTTTATTCCTAATACAGGATATTTACCATCACCAAACACACAAGCGTGATAACCTCTTTATCATATAATGTCATTCTTTAATTCTGTGCTTCAAAATCGCTTTCCCTCTCTCAAAACATTACCAAAACATTGCGAGTTTTCCTGGAATGTGCGCATTAATATTTATTACGTCACAGGGTAAGTGATGTGTCAGTCGGACAGTGACAGTAGCCAATATAGTTCCAACTGAAATCTGTTTCTTATACAGTGGCAAAGCAACATATACACAAAAAAACAATTGATTTTAATTGCCTTTCGCGGCAATCCATCGGTCTGTCCGCTAGAGTAACTGCCCTTTGTCAAAGGGAAGCTACTCTAACCCTAGTCTTTGAGACGTCACGGCCATGGTCAGACGTTGTTGATAGGCGGTCTGTCCTATCATTACGTTAAGAAGTGTAGTCAGATGTACACACAGCGACAAAACAAAACAAGGTAACAATTCCAACATATTTCGGCCAAATCCAACTATTTTAATTTGTGGAGAAGGTTTCAAGCAGCAGAGGTCTACAAGCACAGATATGGCTACTGATCCCGCTTAGCTAGGCCTCGTGCCCTCGTAAAATTGTTTCGAAATTAATATCTCCAAAGTGGCCAAAACTTATAAAATGCCTTAGCTACGTCACATTTAGACACTGATTTTCAGTATATTAGACTGTTCTTTTGATAATGATAGCAATTATCCCTGTATATCATCCAGATTCCCAATGGTTAATTCTGACTCGATCGCCGAATGACGAGGGCGACGCCATGTTTGTTTATAAACAGTGAAAGTAGTCCCTACTTGACCTTTGATATTTGCATCTCTATCCGCATATGACCCCAACGGATATCGTTTTTATCTGTTGGCTTTATCCTGCCGAGAAACCTACCCATTATATGATAAATTACTTTATTCCGTTTGTCTCTTATTTGATAAACAAAATGAATATTCTTGACAGGAAGAAAGTTACTTTCCTTAAATCAATTGAACAGAACTGTTTACTGATATGTAATACTAACAAGCATGAAATACTCACATCCACTGCCAATATGACATGTCGGGTGTGTGCAATGCATTAGCTCCTGTGAACTATGTTCACTGGGCCTTTTTGTAAAGAAATATAGTACGTTTTTCAAGATCTGCTCCGGAAATGAGGACTACCTCCATTTTCAGTCTAAATCAAAGTCGTTGTCATGGAAACTCGAAAAATAACTTTTTTTTAAATCCCAAACTATCAAAAGGCACCAGTTCACCACTAGATCTATCTATGTGCCAAGTAGTAAGAAGAAATATGGTACGGTTTTCAAGATCTGCTCCGGAAACGAGGACTACCGCCATTTTCAGTCTAAATCAAAGTCGTTGCCATGGAAACTCGAAAAATAATTTTCTTTTAAATCCCAAACTATCAAAAGGCACCAGTTTACCACTAGATCTATCTTTGTGCCAAGTTTGGTGAAGAAATATGGTACGGTTTTTAAGATCTGCTCCGGAAACGAGGACTACTGCCATTTTCAGTCTAAATCAAAGTCGTTGCCATGGAAAATTTTTATTTTTTTAAATCCCAAACTATCAAAAGGCACTAGTTTACCACTAGATCTATCTATGTGCCAAGTATGATGAAGAAATATGGTACGGTTTTCAAGATCTGCTCCGGAAACGAGGACTACCGCCATTTTCAGTCTAAATCAAAGTCGTTGCCATGGAAACTCGAAAAAAATTTTTTTTTAAAATCCCAAACTATCAAAAGGCACCAGTTTACCACTAGATCTATCTATGTGCCAAGTATGACGAAGAAATATGGTACGGTTTTCAAGATCTGCTCCGGAAATGAGGACTACCTCCATTTTCAGTCTAAATCAAAGTCGTTGCCATGGAAACTCGAAAAATAACTTTTTTTTTAAATCCCAAACTATCATAAGGCACCAGTTTACCACTAGATCTATCTATATTCCATGTTTGGTGAAGAAATATTGTACGGTTTTCAAGATCTGCTCCGGAAACGAGGACTACCGCCATTTTCAGTCTAAATCAAAGTCGTTGCCATGGAAACTCAAAAAATAACTTTTTAAAAAATCCCAAACTATCAAAAGGCACCAGGTCACCACTAGATCTATCTATGTGCCAAGTTTGGTGAAGAAATATGGTACGGTTTTTAAGATCTGCTCCGGAAACGAAATGTGACGGACGGACAGACGGACGGAAGGACGGACGCCACGGGGGCTGTTCCTACATGATGAAAAAACACTAACAAAGATATAAGTGAAGAAAAAAAACAGAGGTTGGCACTCAAGAAGACAATACGCTGAACGACATAAAAGAAGACAAATTGGCAAGGAAAATGACAAAAATGGATTCCCAGTAAACAAAACATGTCACCACTGTGTGGCAATTTGAAAGAGAATGAGTTGGTTGGGATAGTCACGTAATCAGCACATGTAGGTCAACCAGTGTGCATGGCCGCGATCTGGGAGGTGACCATGGCGATGTGAGGCGATTTTCTTGAGTATAGTGCGAGCCCAAGTATAATGCACACCCCCTCTAGTGGATTCAGTATTTTGGAAAAAAAGATGTTTGAATAGTATGCTCAGAAAAAAATGTCACCATACCCCTTCAGCGAGTTCCCGGTGATAAGAAACTTGGTCAGTACAAATTTGAAATTTGAGATAAAAAATCACCAGACATGTTGATTTACCATTCAAATTGTATTTTTCGTTCTGCTAGGCATTGTTTTACATCAAGGAATGAAGGTTACCTTGTGTATTTTCTCAGCTGTACACACGTTTTCTTGGAATCTACCAGTGATTCGGTAAAAACTTACCCAATCATATAACTTAAAAGGATTTTGGTGCAAGGATCGGGGAAAAATTGTATCTGAAACTATTGTTTTATCAGGAATAATATATTCCAATATCTTGTTATTTTAGTTGCAGCTTTTACTAACTATATTTGAAATGATAATAACCCTAGGCGTAGCACTTCGGTGCAGCTAATCGCTATTGCTGGTTATTTTTTTTCACAAAGAACAATTTGACCAGTCACCTTCAAGGCTCCAACGCATGTGATCGCGAGAACATGTTGAAATATGACTTTTAACGAGTATGGCATTTTTGATACACTCAACAACAAAAGTTCCTGTGACACCAATATTTTAGTGTATTTAGTAAAGTTTGGTTTTCAATATTGAAGTACATGTATGGAATCAAGTCACAAAAACGCATCTGCTACAGAAAAGCATGCATTCCATGCAAAAGTTGACTTTTATGCAAGCCCCATGCATTTCACTACCAAAGAATGGGTATAAAAACATGTGCGTTAACGGGATTCCATATGCATCGTTTAGCATCGTGCTGACAACAACCACTCAGAAAAACAACAAAATTACGCAATTATTCAACACTACAAAGTGCCACGCCTGTCCGAATATGAGCGTCTGAGAGCCATTGGTATGCTTGAAGCAGGATCGAGTCAACGTGATGTTGCAAGACAATTTAACGTCCACAGAAACACCAATTCAGTCAGAGACCGTTCTCAGAGTGGTGGGCCACGCGTAACCAATAATCAACAAGACAACTGGATTCGAACA